TTTCACTAGTAACAAGCATCAGTCCTCGTAAAAAGAAAGTTTGACTACATACAAACATCATAAAAATATTCAATTTTAAACTTTATCAATGTGATCACAAGAGTTTGTCGAGTAGATACTACAAGATAACAATATATCTCTAATAGCTTGCACATGTACACATATATATGCTTATACATTCACACACTTTTATTTTTATTTGAACAAATTACAAGGGCAATACAAATAAAAAATGAAGGTGACAAATTCAACTTGTAGCATGTCATGTGCAGACTACCCATAATCTTAACAAGTAATTTAGGACCTCATTGGTACATCCACACGCATGTGCACACACGCACTCACAAGTCACAACTCTACTTATGTGTGTGCATTGTATTATCCTGAATATAGCTAGACACCTTGTTGCTGGCTAGGTAATGCCTTAAATCTCTTAAATATAAAGATAACAGTAGAATGAAGCAGGCCATTTGTCCTTTGGTGAGGTTCATAGTTCATATTGGATTCTATTATACTAAAACATCGTCCCTTTTAATAGCTAAAGGGGAAAAGAAAACGCTAAGCCTAATCATAATGAAGTCAAACCAAATAACAACTTGCAAATAACCAGATCAAAACCCATATAATAACGGTCACCCATCGATCGACCGAGAGGCAAATACGAGGAAACATAGAATTTGACGAAAGTCATTATGTGTTGTATCAAATTTTGAAACAAGTGCAAGTTGGAGACTTGGGGTCAACTCTTTTAACATCTTGTAATTTAATTAAGGCTAGTAGGCTAATGACATGGAATAGAGGAATTAAAATATTACATCAACTCCAAAAATTAATTTTGAAACATTCATGAAAAGTATGGTGCCCCTAAGTCCCTTCGTCAATTATAAAGGGCAGTCAAGCTTTCTAAATCTAATCGAGTTTAGCTACTAATTAGTATGTAGTTACTGTTAAAATACTTTCATTATAAAGGGCAGTCAAGCTTTCATTATAATTGTAAAAAATGGTAAAATACTACGGACAATAAAAGGATAACAAAAATTCAAATATAGGTAATGTTAAACCATCAAATTTATACTTCCTTAGTTTATTTTAGTTGACACCATTTGAATTTTGCACTATTTATAAATTACACTTTGACTAGCTTTTATGATTAATAGCTACGATAAAATATAGCCTGTAGGATCTTGTTTGAATCGTCTCATTGTATATATTATATTAATATCCACTTTTTATAATTTTACCATATCGATAATTAGAAATATTAATCATTAAAATAGTGTATTGACAAGCGTGTTAATAGTAAGGTGTCAACTAAATAAAAACGAAGGTAGTATATTAAACTAGCTATTCAAGTTAGCATATTTATAATAGTTGTTATAACAAATGCAAGAAAGATTATTGAAATCAACAAACAGTAACACATATTTTATGTGGTTCACTAACGATTAGTTAGTTTATAAACAAATGAGATGAGAATTTGATCTTGACAAAAGAATAGTTTTTTTGGTGCTCATCTTTACAAAAGAATAGTGGCTAGGCTAAACCCTGCCAGGCCAAAACCTAAAACGAAATAGGCCCCCAAAACTAGTGTATCGAAACCCTGTCATAGTCATTCAAAGGGGTTAACTGATTTAAAGCATATTCTAACATGAAATTTTAAAATTTCTATTGTGTGGTGCTATGTTGTGTTGATGAGAGAAAAAATATAGTGATGGTATCAACTGTTGAAAATGTTATGTGTACGAGTAAAGTGATAGATCATTGTGATCATTTATAGAATAGGACAAACTTAAAAGAGACAATTAAAACAGAAGTCAAGGCAAATTTAAAGGACAGATGAAATACCTACCACAAATTTTGCTCAAAATCTAATTTAATTTTCAAGCCATATCAAATCGAATTATGAGATGCCAAGCTACATACAAGCCTACAACGACCACGTTAAATTAGAACAATAATATTCAACAAACGTGTCCATTGACTTGATTTCTCCATTGACCACTAAATGTACAAGTAATAATCAATAGTTAAGAATAGAATCGTAGCACAGTGAAAGTTCGAATTGACCACCACATGATGAACAAGCGATAGCAACTAACATATATAGTCATTTTCGTATAATCATATTTCCTAACATATTATGTGCGTTGGACTTACAACATTAGGCTATGTTTATTTGCACTTTTTAATTTACAGGGTAGTTACTCGATCAAGTAGGTAGTGCGGTAGTGTAGTCAATGAAATTTAAAATTATGTATCCAACTTTAGGTTAAAATTTAGACTAAAGTGTAATTGATGAATGGGGATAGTGCGACGGAGACGAATCAATATTTCCTAACATATTATGTGTGTTGGACTTACAACATTAGGCTATGTTTATTTGCACTTTTTAATTTGCAGGGTAGTTACTCGATCAAGTAGTTAGTGCGGTAGTGTAGTCAATGAAATTTAAAATTATGTGTCCAATTTTAGGTTAAAATTTAGACTAAAGTGTAATTGATGAATGGGGTAGTGCGACGAAGACGAATCAATAAGGTTAGGTCACCTTCTGTATTAATAATGGTGGCATTTAGCAATAATATTACCAATAAGTCTAGAAAGACATTATCATTCGGTTATAGCAAGGTTATTGCTTCAACATAGCAATGATTCATCTAATTTTTCTGGTGCATAATCGATTGTATCATCTATATGGCTATACCCTCGATCTTGGCCTCTTAGGTACAAATATATTTTTATATATGATCTTCACTTCTTCATTGATCATCTTTAAGGAGTAAAATAACATTTAACTACACTGTTCTCTGCAAACTAAAAAGAGTATGTAACACGAATTACACCTCGTGAGCATCCAAGTCAGAGGTTCGATCTCTACCTTAATAATTGAATATCAACACTAATGATTGAGCAATTTTGGAAGGGAGTGTATATGAGAATCAATTGTGAGAGGCTTGGGTATCACAACACAAATTAAAATATTTACTCTAAAAAAGGAAGCTGGATGAAATTAAAATTGTTAACTTATTATCACAATGGCTCTAATACCATGACTAACGATCAAGTCGACCTAAATTCTAAGTTAATGGTTGGAGACTCAAGATTGATTTTATGTTCTATGAAAATCAAGCTAGTATCTAGATAAATCAAATTATTATTATTATTATTATTATTTTTTTTTTTTTTTGAATAAATTATTATTATTATTATTATTATTATTATTATTATTATTATTATTATTATTATTATTATTTTACAGTCCTTTTTATTATTTGGAGCTCTCCAATTGATTAAAATGGGAAAAAAGGCAATACTATATTAATAAAGCCTTTAAACCACTATGTATCCCCCCCCCCTCCACAAGAAGGATTTCAAAGTAGTATTTTTTTTTTTTTTTTTTTTTTTTGACAAAGATTTCAAAGTAGTATTGCTTATGTTGATGGATGAGACTCCTTCTAGCTCTCCTTTGTATACACGTGATATAAAGATGCAAATCTCTAATTCTTCGCAAAGAATAAGAGGTTACGATAAGACATTGTTAAAGGAAAGCTAATTGTGCGGCTGGCTGGTTAGCTAATTACAAGGTGCATTTGAAGCAAAAATCGGTGATTTTATAGGTCTTGAAGGATCGGATTTTCATATTGTTTAATTGGGAGCGAGATTAAGGGGAGTTCGATCATAGTGTTCATAGATTAAGGGGATTTTCATATTGTTCTAGGAGCTGAGTCTAGTAGTTAGTGCTTTGTTTGTTATACTTTATGTTTGGTTTAGATGTATTTTCTACCTCTTTAAGGGGCTTGCCCCTCTCTTTCAACAACAACCACTGCACCAAAAAAAAAAAAAGGTGGACTTTTAGATATTACGTCAGTAAATATAAATGGAAACGAAGGTAGTCTACGGAAGTTTCGGTGAATCAGCAAAACTAACAGCTTCATATCTGTTACATGACCTTAATGGTTAATTAAGATAACATAAAATATAATAATAAGATTAATAACATTTGCATGCATATTGCATGACATTCATATCAACGCAAATTTAGCTAATCACTTTCCGTATATCGATCTTACTATTGTCAATGGCGGCGCTTAGAACACCTTCTTTAAAACTAACTTACCGTTATACGATTTCTCTAATTCTCTATCACAATACACAGGTTCAAGTACGTAACTAATTTCAACTTGACTCGTACTTTGTTTTTTCTAAATTAAAAACTAATAAAGCTTAGTTAACCTACTTAAATGGGCTGACTCGTACTTTTTATGGCCTAACAAGTACTACTTCAATTCGTTCATATCATTTATGAGTATCATTAGCTAACTTCGTTTCATTTCATTGCCTACATTATTTACACTAATGTTATACACTGGATGTACATAGAGGTGGGTGCATCTAAAAGGAAGTTTTTTGCTCAATTTTTTTTTTCTTTTCATTTTAAGATTTTAAAATAAGCAAAAATTAATAAATGAGCAGAAAATACTCTTGATGCATCTTGCATCTGGATATATATACCTTTCTTTGAATCAAGTTTAATCCATGTGGAGTAACTAATTTTTTTAATAAAAAAATAGTGTCTTAATTGTGAATGTATGGGGTGGGGGTGGGGGTGGGGAGGGGGGGGAGTTTAGTAACATGAAAAACCTTAGCCTTTTACTTAGAGCATTATTGATGATTTTAATTTTCTTACAATAATCAGTAATTTTTGTTATTTTCAATACATGGTACCGGCAACTTTAAGACTAAAAAGTTCGCGTCAAATAAGATTCTTATCAACAAATATAATAAGGTTTCATTTTAAAATCAATGAATGATAGGATCCAGTAGCACACTGAATTCTTATAACTTAGTCAAATTCCTTCTCATTCTTAAAGACAACTTGTCTCAACTCATATAATATATATGGGTTATCATCTTAATATAAAGACATATACACAATAAACCTTTAATTTAATGTTTTACAGGTATTGAATATTAGCACAAGGAAACTTGTAATTATTTAATTTTCATAACTTTTGGAATAAACTTAAAAAATAAAATAAAATACAAGTGTCATTTTACAGCTATCATATATCAAACCACAAATAACGTATGTACCAATGTTAATTGCCAGCCCCCTGCCACACTTCTCTATATAAACCCACCTCCTTACCTATGAAATAAACCATAAATAGAAAGCCGCACCAAATACTCAAATACACACACTCTCTAATACCTCCATTTAACAACCAACTTCTTAACCCCTCTTTTCCATGGAATCGCAAACTGAGAGTTTATGGTTAATAGCCCTCGCTTCCAAATGCACCGCCTTTTCACCACAAACTATCCTTTTTCTTTTCACCCTCTTATGCTTAGCTTCATTAACCATAGTTTTGTTCCACTGGGTTGAACCCGGGGGTCCAGCTTGGGGTAAATACCGTCACAATAAATTCACCCCACGAAACACCCCGGTACTACCCCCAGGACCCCGGGGTTATCCCATCATAGGAAGCATGGACTTAACGGTGGGCTTAGCCCACCATAAGTTAACCTCCATGGCTAACCTCCTAGGAGCTAGGAGGCTTATGGCCTTTAGTATGGGTGACACACGTGTCGTGATCACATGCAATCCTGACGTAGCTAAAGATATCCTATGTAATTCGGTGTTTGCTGACCGTCCGATCAAGGAGTCTGCTTACAGCTTGATGTTTAACCGTGCCATGGGGTTCGCCCCGTACGGTGTTTACTGGAGGACGTTACGGAGGATTGCCGCCACCCATATGTTCTGTCCGAAACAGATTAACCTCGGCGTAATACAAAGAGCTGAAATCGCCTCACAAATGGTGAACATGATTAATTATAATGTTGGTAAAAATACAGCAGCATTTTCTGTCAGAGAAATGCTGAAGCTAGCATCTCTGACCAACATGATGGAATCAGTGTTCGGAAGGCGGTACGAGTTGTCAACTGCCTCGCTGAATAGCGAGGCAGCAGAACTTAGTCAGCTCGTACAAGAAGGTTATGAGTTACTAGGGAAGCTCAACTTGTCTGACCATCTTTCCTGGCTTGGTTCTTTTGATCCTCAAAGGATCCGTGAGAGATGTTCTCAGCTCGTTCCTCGGGTTAATCGGTTTGTTAACCGGATTATTTCCGAGCACCGGGTTCGGGACCATAAGCAAGAGGCAGGTGACGACGACGCTAGAGGCCATGATTTTGCAGATGTTTTACTGTCCTTAAATGGACCTGATAAATTGTCTGATTCTGATATGGTGGCTGTTCTTTGGGTAAGTATTTTTCATACTTCTACCGTACTTCAATATAATTAATAATTCAAATTATACTATCAACACGAGTAGTCGAGTACACAACAATTATATTTAATAGTAAAGTTTTGCCACTTGAATTTTGTTAAGAACATAAAATAGGGTTATCTCAACATAATATACCCTAGGCATACATGAATGAAGCAATCACGACAGTTGCAACCAATGATATTTCATAATTATTATAGTAATATATGGAGTAGTTATATATGCAATTGGAGGGTCGATGATAATCTCCTTTTAAATCATACGAAGTAGTATACTATTTTTGTCTTAAAATGAATAAATAAACTTGTTGGTGGTATTTTTCTTTTTTCGGGATGTGGGGACAACAAATCCGATCTCCTTATAATAATGCAAGAATAAGATGTGCTACCAAATAAACAAATCTAACAGTAGCATTTTTGTAGCTATTACTATGTATAATGACGTTTACATTAAGAATAAACATTCTTCATATAGTAACACTACTTCGATCTATCTCTATTTAGAAAAAGCTTTCTTCCTAGAAAAAGCTTCCTTCCCCACTCTCGTAATGTCTAACCAGCTAATCCGCGCTAAATTGACTCATAAGAGGTTGTGAATTAAATGGACAGTTTTGGTACCACTAAAGAAAATTAGGATAAGCTAATAAACAAACTCATTAGTAGCACTAATAATTAATAATTTGAACATCATTATTGATAATTGATGTAATGATTATTGATATGTGACAGTACATAAAGCTTTAGACCACCTTTTTTCTAGGGCTAAAGTTTTTCCACAATAATATTCACAATGGTAAAAAACAAGTGACACAAAATATTACTCCCTAATCTATATACTTCCTATGTGATATAAAATTCAATAAATATTGTCTTGGAAAAATTTATTATTTATCGTAATTTTGAACGATTTCGTCTACGAATGGCAGGAGATGATATTCAGAGGAACGGATACAGTAGCAGTGTTAATAGAGTGGATACTAGCAAGAATGGTCCTTCACCCTGATATCCAATCAAAGGTCCAAGATGAATTAGACAAAGTGGTCGGAAAATCTAGACCGTTGATGGAATCTGATATTCCTTCATTGGGCTATCTTCAGGCTATGATCAAAGAAGTTCTGAGATTACACCCACCCGGCCCACTTCTATCGTGGGCCCGTTTAGCAATAACTGATACAACCCTTGACGGGTATCATATCCCAGAAGGTACAACTGCTATGGTTAATATGTGGGCCATAGCCCGGGACCCCGGCATATGGGCTGACCCGCTTAGGTTTTCCCCGGAAAGGTTTATGGATAAAATGGATGATTTCTCGGTGTTGGGATCGGATCTTAGGCTGGCACCGTTTGGGTCCGGGAGGCGGTCTTGCCCCGGGAAGGCGCTCGGGTTAACTACCGTAACTTATTGGGTTGGGACTTTGCTTCATGAATTTGTGTGGACGCAATGTGATCAATATCCTGTTACTCTTAGTGAAGTTATGAAGTTGTCATGTGAAATGGCTAATCCCCTCAAAGTTATGGTCCACTCTAGGCGTAATTGAGTGTACGACTAAGACGTGAGAGTTTAATTAGTTAGTTTGGTTGATATTGTACAAAAGTGAGTTAAACCAAATTATACTACTAGTTCCCCGAAAAAAAAAAAAAAAAAAAAGAATTATACTACTAGTTCGGGTGTAATGTGTAAATATACTGTTTGAAACCTTAACTAACTAAGAACAAGGTTTGCCGTGTAAGATAAGATGTAAGTTTCATAAGGAGACATAGAAATTAGATCGTGAATAAAAGTTTGTCGTACACTCTTCGTTTGTTTGAATTCACACAATCTAGGTGATCAAATATAAAGTGTGAATTCGTATATTTGCTTTGTATGCAATGTATTTTCCTTGATAGATATATACAAAACGTGATTAAATATTTGTACTTTTAGTAACTATTATAATAAACTTGCTCAATACGTGCTAACTTAGTTCATCTTAATTTGTCTCATGATTACTCTGATCTGTAACAGCTTAGTTAAACAAATAGAGATTATAACAAGGACAATCAATTGGACTATGCATTTGTCTAGTACTATAGCATTGGACTGCGATTAAATTAAGTACAATGTGGCATCCTAATTCATAATATGGTCTGAAGTTCTGAACATCTTATGGAGGACTGACTATGTAGACATTGGCCGAACGAGTCATCTGAACACAGAACAGGCTTAGCTAGTCTAAACTCTTTTAAGTACCATAACTTTGTAAGACAGTGACTGCCGGTTAGCCTCGTTGCTAAGTGAATTGCTTAATGATTGAAAAACATGAATACTGCAATAGACAAATAATTGTGGCCAAATATTTGTAGGGTACTGATATAGACCAAAAAAGGGCATAATACTAAGTAGTGATTCTTACAATCTATGTCGGCAGGAACTAGAAGAACCAAAGTAATGAAAATTGACAAGTTAATTATAGATGAATTGCCTAAGAATGAGGGTCTTTAATCCATACTTTGCCTTGCAAAGAGGGACTTTCAGTCTATATTCGAGTTAAAACAGAATAGCAACAAAATACCGCTCTTAATGTGTAATGTTGTTATCTTATAGCTTTCACCTTCAACTTTTTTTGCACCGGCAATGAGAATGACCTGAAAATTAATTGCAGCAATTACAAGAGGTACTAGACAATGTAGAGACATGGTGGTAGGACGTTCATTAATTTTGGATACCTTGAATGCACATTACAAATTGTCCGTATACATCCTCAATGTTTAATCACTCTTTACCAAAGAATTCGGATACTAAGCAAGGATTCGATCTTATCTATTAAAGCTATTTTGTTTGGCTTCGCAATAAAAGTTCATGACCTCGAAGGTGTCCTAAGGGAAACCCTTTCAATACCGAAGATAGTTCGATTTCACATGTGTTTTCATATCTTGGACTGATGGCAGGGGATATTTACTCATCATTTGATTTGTGATGGTTGTATATGGAAACATCTCCTTAGGATATACACTGTCAAATTCCACTCTAGATTTCTGCTGCCAAATCATCAGTAAATCATATTTTTCATCATTATCGACTGGACTTCATGTTATTAAGCATAAACTTCTGATGTCTTATCAGCCTTAAGCGTGCTCGACCACAGTGCATAATGCAATGGTACAAAGTCAATCAGTCACGTTCGTGTGAGTACGGACTACACACTTTCTTTCTCCTAAATGTCCACTATTTGGTAATGCAGTTCCCCTATACCCAATTACCCATGTAGTCCCAATACATACCATATAATTCGTACACCATAAATTACCTAGGCAAGGATCATGTGCACGACTGCACGATTTATCACTCGTCACCTTGATGTATGGTTACAAGTTTAAGTGCAGAGGAAAAACAAGTAGGACTGTCTAAGTGTAAGACTTAATTGTTAAGACTATATAAGAATAAAATTACGAGTAGACAAGCACAAGGAAAATAAAGACAGGATACATAACAAAATATGGCATTGCCACAGTTGAATATGCCGTTTATATAGACAATATAGTATGAAACCAAAGTTACTTACAGCATCATACTAATTGATCAAAGTATATTCTAAGGCAGAGCTAAGCAAGAGTGCAACAAGACCTTTCTCTTGATTCATTTGTGGCGAACACTAAACTTGACATCCTGCAATTTACCCAATGCCTTCTCAAATTGGGCCCACTTCTGCTCGAGCGTGCCAGTATAGCCAATGGACATCCTAACAAGGCCCGGTGAGATACCTGCGCGAGCCTTTTCCTCCTCACTCATCTCACTACTAGTGCTGCTACCGGAGCACGACATAAGGGTCTCGTAGTAGCCCAAGCTAACCGCCATGAACCCAAACTGGGTGCAGTTTTGGAGCTGGTACATCAACCGGTTGGCCCGCTCCTCGGTCTCCATATCCACACACAGGATGCCACCATACCCATATTGTTGGCTGCAAATGGACTTTAAAAGCTCGTGTTGTGGATGATCTTCTAGCCCAGGATATACGACTTTTAGGCCCAATTTTTTCATCCTTTTGGCAAATTCTAAGGCCCGTGCACAATGCTCTTTCATTCTGAGGCCTAAATGAGGAAGCCTTTCAGAGAGTTCAAATGCCACTTTGGCGTTCATTGTTGGGCCTAGTAGCATTAAGGCCCCTTGGTGTAAGTCCATCATTGAATTCACTAGGCTTGCTGGCCCACAGACAGCACCTACATCAAGTCAAGCCAATTATAAGTACGTCTATTTATTTTTCTAAAATGGTACGGAGTACTCCATTTAGCGATGGAAAACTTTAAACAACTAACAAAATTTAACAACTTTCACTTATTATAAATGATGTGCGATTTAAAAACTTAAAAAGTGTTAAATAAAAAAATTACGGAGTAGATTTTATCGTCCTTTTACAACCCGACTAGTTGTGCATTTTTACAATTGATGAAAGGTGAAAGGCAAACATGAGAGTAATTTAAAGTTAAAGAGTAGTACAATGTTGACATATTTGTCGTAACTCACAAAAGTCATAAATAAAGAGTGAATCGAATGAGGGAAACGTGAGTACGTGAGTTAAAGCTTATCCAAGACCCAAAGTGTTGGAAATTTTGTAGGACTGATAGGTACAAGCCAAAGATGGGCCAGATGGCAATTTATATGACACACACCACAATTGATAGTACTAGAGGCATCTTATGATTGAGGTGGAAAATGTCACTTTGGCCTCTTTAACATGGTAAATTGTTACGGAGTACCAAGATTTTTCTCTATATTTTAAATTACACTTTATATACTCTTGTTCTTGAGCTAGTTTTTACACTTTTCTTGTTTATATATTATACGAAATACATAAGAGTTAGATAATTAGTCGTGTAGGTGGAGTTTAATTCAGCCTTTATCAAGTGGAATTTAGGTTTTAGTGACTTTAAATGTTATACGAAGTATATAAAAGCTCAATTGCACGTGTAACGTGTTTAGGCGAAAAATGTGATAAGTGCATCGGGAACATATACATAAGTACATAACTTACAAGGGATGAACTAATTATTAATTTTTTGAATTATTTTTCATTTTCTCCGTAAATATATAGCAAGATACAAAGTGAGTAACAGATTAACACAAGTCAAGAGTTTAAGTTCTCTATCACGAATAATTGTGTTTGTGCATGCATGTATCGCTGTTTGATATCTAGCAGACTGGCTGGTCATCTTTACTATCAAAAGAAAAATTACTCTGTATTAATCAATTTTATTTCTTTAGCAAAAATTAATCACTGCTTATTTAGCAAAAATTAACCACGCTTGACTCCAAAATGGTCTGTTCAATTGAAATTCCACACCATGTATGTTTAAACCTTTATCATCTTTACCAACAAAAGAATTGAAAATGAAATTTAATTTACAATTACCTTTTTTCTTTAGTGTACGGAATATATTAGTTACGTATTTTAACATCCACCTAATTAAGACCGCAACTTTTTGTATATACTCCCTCTTTTTTTTTATATATATATTCTCTCCGTTTTAATTGACAAAATTACCGAGAAAAATTTAACGAGTAAGAGGCTACACTACATTATTCTTAGCATATTTGATACTTCCAATCAATAAATCAATAATGTCCTCTGTTTATCCAGTGCATGTCTTACCAGTTTACCAATACTATACATTAACAAAGGACAGATAACAAATTCCAATCAATAATCATGCAGTAAATTCCAATCAAAATTCATGCAATAAAATTGCGACAAAAATAGGTAGAAACAACAAGACACATGTATAATAGGTAAATTAAAAAAAAAATATTATACGATCAAATGACAAATTAAAGATGACATTACCTGCGATAATATCGGCCCCACCACTAATATACTTGGAAATACTATGCACAACCACGTCCGCACCAAGCCTAGCGGGAGATATCACAACCGGTGCAAAAGTATTATCCACCACCACAATCACCCCTTTATCGTGTGCAATCCTACACACCTCAGGTATATCCGCCACCGTCAGAGTCGGGTTCGATACCGACTCGAAATAAACCACTTTAGTCTTTCCCTCCACGATCGCCTCCTTAATGGCGGCATGATCACATATATCCACAAACGTAGTATTGATCCCGCTTGTACGCGGGAGAAAATGCGTAAGCAAAGCATGAGTACCACCATATAGTGTTTGAGACGCTACGATATGGCCGCCAGCGCCTACGAGTTGGAGGAGGACGGAGGAGATAGCGGACATGCCGCTAGCTGTGCAATAAGCGGCCTCCGTCCCCTCCAAGGCGGCCATAAGGCGTCCGAGGTTTAGGACCGTAGGGTTAAAATGACGACTATATATGAAATAGTCACGGTCAGGTCCTAATTCACCAGAAAATAACCGCCTCATAGTTTCTGGCTCCATAACCGTAAAGGTTGCGGATGCCTCTATTGACATATTTACCCCTCCGTGTTCTCCGAACTCGTGGCGTGCGCTTGCTAGCGCAGCCACGGGATCTTCCGTGGCCGCGATTGCGGCCTTCTTGGTTATGAGCATAGAGTTGTAACCATAATCTTCATTGTCGCTTGAACGTTTTTTATTATGGTTTAAAATTGTGTTGTTAATTGAAGTGGTTGGAGGAACTCCTGTTGCCATTGAGTTGTTAAAAATTCAAGGGTGTGTTTTTTTTTAGAGTTTGTTTTGTGTTTGCAAATGTAATGAAGTTTGAGTGTTTATATAGAGAGGTACAGAATATCAAATTGGAATTGTATTGAAATTGGGTTATAGGAAAATTATTCTTATGTTACCATACATACGTCAGTCATTAGTAAGAAGATTTATCTCTTGTACTTTAATTCAAAGCTAATGACTAAATTTAAACACGTTATTTGCTTCGGATAAATATGAATATAATAATGATGATCGTTTTTTCTGTGCAAAATTTAGACTACCATATTAACCTATGAAAG